CCTAAATCACTCGTACGCACAACTTAAGAACAAATCTGTGCGTACGAACGGTTCTTGCATGAGGCCCATTGTTCAAATTCAGTCCAGCTGACCTTCAGTAATCTTAGTATGTACCAAGTGAAAGACAAAAATGACTCAATGATGATGYACAGAAACAGRGCCCTCGTCCTATGTTGGAGAACCAAGACCTTCTCGGAACCAAACATTCATGGATGAGAACTACGTTAAGATCAGTCCCAAAGAAAGGAGCTTTAGAGATATAGAAACTGCAAAACATCATCTGGATTGGTGAGAAAATAACTCGTAACCTGCAGTCAAGAGGAATCAGCTGTCACACGCAGAGTTTGATGAGGTAAAGCAAAAACRTTACGGCGTGAAAGTSTGTGTGTGTGGAGGGGAGGGGCATCATGATCATCATCAACATCACCAGTAAAGAATGGATGCTAAGACACTTTGAAAAGCAATCAAACTGAAAATAAGAGAAGCTGACATGAAAATAAGCCTACTGACTGCTGGAGACAGGCAATCAGCTATCCTGTGACCCTCAAAGATGAATAATAAGGGGTGGGTGGGGGTGGAAATAGAGGCCCATGTTGACCCTGAGCTTGGATGCTGTGGGATAAACTGCAAAAAATGTGTAACGTGCAGAAATGCGTAAAACTATTTGATTTCTTTTTAATTCCCCTTTTACATTGCTTCCAATTACTTTAGTGTTGAAAGTCCAAAACTGTCTCAATATATAAATCTGATTTAAAAAAGTCATGATAATACAAATGTTATCATTAAATGTTATGGTAGATGTTTTCTTTATGAGCAGTACACATTTAGATCTTTCTTTTGGTTTTTATGGCTTGCAGGCCGCTTTGATCTGAGTCCAAACAAGTCTTTTTATAGTAAAACAAATATTAAATGAGGCATGGCTGYAGGAAAAAAGGAACACGTACTCAGGCCTTCCAGGGCAAAAAAAAAATCCCCTTATCATCTACTTATTTTATTGTTAGAGTGATGTGTTGCAGGCCAAAAATGATGAAGAAATTAGCTTAAAAAATAAAATATATTCTATAAAAATTAATTTTCTAATGGCATGTGTGGATAACAATGTTTTTGATTGTTTCTTTTGGTGGTTTATCACCATTATTTTTACTTAAATATCTGTGTTTTGTATTTTGTTTACTACAGTAAGTAGCAAAAATACAATAATTATTTAGGTGAGTCTTTTGTTATAGAAAGAGTTTAAATTATATAATGCAATCGTTGTCAAAATTTCATTTTTAAAAGCAACTTTACATCAGTTAGACTAGATAATAAAATCTATTTGTGTTCTGATACGTCACTTTGAAAACAAGAGGATGAATTATTCTTCGGAAAGGTCCAATCATCTTCTTTGGTGTGGCTGTAAAACTCTGGAGATACAGCGAGCTGTGAGCGGTGACGTTGCAGCTCTCAACAGAAAATTAAAGGAGGTCACTCTGTTTGCTGAACTGATTTGCAGCAGCCGACACGTCTTATCACCTCAGCTCTGCCTGTCTCAGACAGATGGACCGAACAGAAGCTGACAGAGAGAACTGCTCAGAGGATTTCTTTTAGGATGAATGCAACCATGTTAGGGGTCTTCACCTTGTCAGGCCTGAAGGACACCACAACAAAGTACAGAGTCACTCTTTTCTC